ATCTATCCATCTATCTATCTATCTATCTATCTATCTATCTATCGTCTGTCTGTCTCAGGTGTTTTATGTGATGATGATGATGATGATGATGTCTCATATCGATGGATAGATGGAGTCTGGGGGAAAGCGAGTGAGAGAAAGTGAGAAAGAGGTGTGAGAGCGATTTTGTGTGTGTGGGGTAGGGGGGATGGGGTGGTGAGGGGAACAGATGGTTTCCTCAGTCTGACTGAGATGTTTCTCTGGCAAATTGGTGTGTGTGTGTGTGTTGAGGGTCATTTGCACAACCTGTGATCAGGATCTATCTAAGAATGGCGTTTTGTGCAGCAAAAACAGCAGCTGATGGAACACATTGACACTTCAATCACGATGAAGGAAAGTGTCCTGCAGGATTTGAGACACAGATGTAGAAACTTGATTTCATATAATTAATTTAAATTCTGACATTTGAACACGACTTAAGTGTCCAAACACATTTTGACATCCCTGTATTTGTATTTAGATGTGAAAACAGATACTTATCACTGCATGTTTGACTTTATTTTACATCTTCATCTTCCTCTAGGACAGTTTTGCTTTGATTTTAGGTGCTCCAGCACCATGTTTTGCCTCTTGGCACCCCCTGCTGTCAGAATGAGAGAGCAGCTGTTTTCAGGCCCTTAGATAGAGAGAAGGAGCAGAGACCTGCTGTTACATATTTAAAAAAGTGTTGCATTTTACCTGTGTGTGTGTGTGTGTGTGTGTTGCATCAGAGCCCACCTGTGCTAAACACACCTCACACTCCACAGCAGATGGTGACGCTCGACCAACGAGTCTGAAAAATATGGCCTGTAGACTAGAGTTAAACATTTACACTAACAATCTGTGACACTGTTTTAATTCTCCGGTGAAGAGAGGTGTGTTTGACAGCAGCATCACAGTAATTCATGTTTATTGGAGTCGGAGCAGATCCTCAGAGGGATCGCTGAACACAGATGGGATGAGCAACACATGATCAGAAACACACACAGATCAATGCACAGGGCATACTTCACCCCAAAACCAAAGGAGAAGAAATAGAGAATCATATTTCATACCATCATACCATCTCAAAGAGGCACAAAATCACTTTCACTGACTTTTACATGAACTGTTCCCTCCTGGTGGAATGACCTGCCCAACTCAATCCCAGCAGCTGAGTCCTTAGCCATCTTCAAGAAACGACTAAAAACACATCTGTTCCACCTTTATTTGACCCTCTAGCACTTTCTACTCTATTTTAATTTTTTCTAATAATAAAAAAAACACTAGCTTTCTATTTTTTCTATTCTATCTACTTGTTTTTCTTTGTGTGTGTGTGTGTGTGTGTGTGTGTATATATACACACCTTGCTACGTGTACTGTGTTAGGCTAACTGAGACTTGTCATTTGCACTTATATATTGTTGCTCTTTTGTTAGTTTTGACTGTTTTTATTGTCCTCATTTGTAAGTCGCTTCGGATAAAAGCGCCTGCTAAATGACTAAAAAATAAAAAATAAATATTTTGCATATAGAATTTTGGACATTGGAACATTTTTCATGCACATTTTCCCATTTTCCTATTTTTCTTCAACACAAAATGAATAAATGAATGAATATTTTTTTTATTTAAATTGTGAAGTGTTTATAGATTATGGCATTATTTAGATATTTTAAAATCTATTAAATACATTTATTTCTGTTCTATTTCTATATTACAGTTTTTACAACAGGCTTCATTGTCATAATAATAATATTTAATGATATAAATTATGACGTTAAAATCATCCTTTTCTTTAAGCAATTTTTTTTGTTTCAGAAATGAATCATGTGAGATTTACACTTCTAATTGGTCTATAACACCTTGAGATGGTTATGACAAAACAAAACTAAATTTGGATTAATTTAATCGTTCAGCAGATACATATTTCAGGTGGCTCACAATAACTTAAATAAATGCTAGAAAGACCTGAAATTTGACAACACAAATGTCTGTCTGTAGGTCTGATTCTATCTAAACATAACATCTAAATTATTGAACTGTGTGTTGATATTAACCACCAAATCTATTGTATCCACAACCTTCAGCAGTCAGTTTCAAAAACTACACTGAAAAACTATTTAGTGTATGTTTGGAGTTGGTTTTCACATTAGAAATTACATTGATTAACATGCACAATAACACTGATTTAAACATGAAATTTTAAAGTAGAAAGACTGAAATTGTATGTTCTTGTAAAACATACTTCAGTCATTTTAATCTTGTCTTATTCACAGCTTGAAAATATTTTTTTTTTTACATTGTACCTGATAATGTTGCATGCAGCTATTCATCAGACTAATGCTTAATATTCATTTTCATTTCAAGTATGTTTATCTAATTTTTCTTCTTTAGATATTTTTCCCTGTATGACAGTTGGTTTTTGCAGTGTAAGTGTGTGTGTTTTGCATGAAGCAGCACACAGTTTCATGTTAAGCTCTTTTATTTTCGTGGTCTTCTGAGATTTAGTGACCTTTTCTCTGCTGTTCGATCATCTGCGGCTCCTGTGGTTGTTCTTCCGCTGGCATCACGTCCCTCTCGCAGGAAACATGTTGCTTTGTTTGTGTGTCCCGCTGATAGGCGGCTCTGCTTCCACGGTCACGTCTGTCCGCTTCACTCTTTGTTTTTCTGTCTCTCTCGTGTCTCCTGCCGTCTGTGCCGGTCGCTGTCTCTGGCAGCTCTTAGACTGAGACAGGACTCTGGTCTGTGTGAAGTTAAAGCCGGTCTCCTGAAGGCAGGTTTAGCAGGAGCGTGAGCTGGTGACGAGCGGCACAGACGGTCTGGGCAATCAAGCGGTTCAATCCGATTTACCTCCATGAAGCCCGTCTGTGAGCGCAATCCTGGCATGTGATGAGAGAGAGAGAGAGAGATGGCTTTTGGAAAAATTGTGTCACGTGTCATATCAAAATCATTGTGATTGTTAAAGGAAGAATAACAATCAAAATGGACTCTAAATGATAAAAGTAAGACTTCTATCTTATCAGAGAACACGTTCCTTTCTAAAAAAAAAATCAATAAATCAAAAATGTAATACATGTTTATAATACATGTTTATATTCAAAACAAAACATTTGAAAAATAAACTTTATTCCATACATATTCTCTCAAAATAAGTCTTATTATTTCAAACAGTTTTGCGTTTCGAGTAACTTCGTCTTATTTGAAGGATGTTTACATATTTTATTGAAACATAAGGACAAAAAGTTAAGGAAAGAAAAATCACAAATCACATTGAAGATCTTGATCGTTTCTTCTAGACAGCAATGAGATTAAATTGAGAGCAAATGGAAATGTTTGAATTCTCCTGCTTCTCAGATGTTTCTCCTCTAATTTCATAATGAGATCATGTAATCTAATAATAATAGAGTATATCTGAATATGCATTTTGAATGTAAAGTTGTAAATAAACATCATGATTGTAGTTGTTGTACTGAACTTTATTTATTTATTTATTTATTTATGTTAAAGTAATTTCGTGCTTAATTATACAAAAATTATTATTTTATTTTTTTTGGAGTGAAATATGACCCATCTTTGTAAGATTCAACAATAATTAAACAACAGTAGTCGTCAATAGAAGATCCCCACATTGATATTAGCATGGTGTGTGTGTGTGTGTGTGTGTGTGTGTGTGTGTGTGTGTGTGTGTGTGTGTGTGTTTGACTGACACGGAGAAGAAGGTGTTGGGTGGG